TAGAGATCTGGAAAGATGGAATCCACTAGCATTATCACTAATTGGCAGGATAAACTGCATAAAAATGAACATTCTTCCTAAATTTTTATATTTGTTTCAGACCCTCCCTATTTCTATCCCACAAACGTTTTTTTTAGGAATCTCAACAGCTCAATTAGAAATTTTATTTGGAATAAAAAAAAACTCCTAGGATTAAACTTAGGACATTACAGATGACATCCAAAAAAGGTGGACTACAACTTCCCGATTTTTTGTTTTATTTCTGGGCAGCACAGATGAGAGCAGTGTGGTTTTGGCAGATGGAAGGTACATTGTTACCCTTATGTTTACAAATAGAAAAATATCATGCAAAGGAAATACCTTTAGATAAGGCCTTATTCATTCCTTTGAATTGTGTTATGAAGGCAGTTAGTAACCCATTCATTAGGCATACTTGCAAATTGGGGTTTGTAATCAAGAAAAAAAATAATTGGCTACTTTCAGTGTATAATAATACTCCGTTTCACTGTAACCCATCTCTTCCTGAAGCATTAAGAGATGGAATAACAAAATACTGGTATAAAAAGGGAATACAGATGTTTGGAGATTTATAAGAGCAGGGCGTACTAATGACATTTGAACAATTGAGATTAAAGTTTTCCCTTCCTGTTAAACATTTTTTAAAATATATTCAGGTGAGACACTAATTATCACAATGCAAAAGGGTAATTTAGGACCTCTCTCTTCCCTCCCAATAGATGCTATTATAAGAAAGAGAAAAGAACCCAAAGGATTTGTGTCTTATATGTATAGCAACCTTAACGATTTGTATGGGATGGAAGTGTCATCTTCCAAACTTAAATGGGAGAAAGATTTAGAATGCATTTTTGATCAAGATACTTGGGAACATATCTGTAAAAGTGCCTTAACATTTTCATTTAATAGTAGACATACATTAATACAGTTTAATATTTTACACAGGGTATATTATACACCTGAACGATTGCACAAAATAAGTGATTCATATTCAGAACATTGTTCTAGATGTAAGATTGAGGTTGATACATTATTTCATATGTTTTGGACATGTTCCAAACTTAAAACCTATTGGAGAAATATGATACAAACTATTAGTAAAATTGCCAATGTTAACCTTTTACCTGATCCAAGATTTATGTTGTTGGGGGATGAGTCGGTTCTTCTGTTCGATCAAAGGAAAAAATTACGTTTAATTAAAATGGCTCTGATAGCAGCAAAGAAATGCATTGCTATACATTGGAAATCAGTAGAACCACCAAGTCATATTGTATGGCTTAGAGAACTTTCTTCTTATGTTCCTGTTGAAAAAATAATGTTTAATCTTAAAAAAAAAACTCTTAAATGTTTGAAAAGACTTGGGGAAAATTTATTGAATACATGAATAACTTGGATGTTACATTGACTGAAAATACTGATGGAAAAGTATGACACTTCATTGCTTTAATCCTGTATTTGTCATTATTGTTTGTTTATTTCCTCTTAATTTACACATCAGCTCGATGTCTGACAAGTATGTCTGTTTAAGTGTTCTGTCTTGTGAGGGTGGGAAAGGGGTGGAGGGTGGTTAGAAAAGAATGTTTACATGTATACTGAAATTACTCTGTAAATTTTTGATGTGAAAATAATAAAAAATATATTGATAAAAAAAAATCCATGTTGTACACTGTCATTCAAATATCAACATGTGAGGCTTCCCTGGAGCAGAAAAAGAAATGCTCCATATTTACACATAAGAGCAGACTGCACATTTTCCTCTTGCCCAGCCAAATACTCATTCACAAAGCAAAGGAAACCTCATGAACGGGGCAGAAAAGTAAAAATATTAGTTCAACAAACTGGACATGTACAACACAAACTTTCAGAAGCGAAGGCTAGGCCAGCTACATACCTTACAAGAGGCAAAATAGCAAAGTCAATTATGCATGGACCCAGTCAATAATTCTATAGCACACTTCAATCAACACCTACAGAGCAGCATCTGTCTGGGAACATGAGTAAATGCCTGAGTAAAAAGTATTAAAAGTGATAACCTCGGAAGTTCGCAAAAGGGAAGCCATTCACTCTGACATCCTGAAAGAAGTACACATAATACAATACTCAGAGAATGTGACAAATTACTTCAAATTACCAGGGTACATACAGTTTTCCAGTACAGACCACTTCTCTGTTTATTTGTACACAGAGCGTGTTATCAGCTTTCTTCAACATCATTTGCGATTCGGCCCGATCAGCCGAATCGTGTGTTTTACTATGCACTCGTTCTTCCAGGAAAGGATAGAAATGCACCACCTCTGCCCATTTGTGAAATGCTCTCCAACGCTTACTCAGTGCCGCCAATCACATATTAGCTCATGAGCTTTCAATTAGATTTGTCAAAATACACCAAAATCAACATTCACCACATCGAGACTGATTACAGCTGGGCTTTGATGCTGAGTGTGCTTCATGCTTTCAACAAAGAGAACATGAGCTGTTATCTTGACAGAGCATATCAGTTCTGCACGGGACAAAAATCATGGAATGAAATTAAGTCATTTACTATCCTGCATATTTGCTCACCGCACATTTTGAAAGCTGTCAGACAGTCCATCCGTAGGCAAACAGATGACAAGGGTCTGGGAGACTTTGCCACCTATGCTTTCGCCAGACTCCAAAATGCCGCCAACATGACACAAGCAACAATTGTGTTCCGTGCACTGTGTGTCCTGCTCACAAGCCCACAAAACACAAGCTGTGTTAAGGAAAGTCTGTCTCTTTTGGAAACTGTCATTTCAAAGAGCAAAGACAATCCACTTGAAGAAAATATGCAGCCTAAAGACTGGGAAATCTATGAGAGTGAAGAAAGGAGAAATTCATTGACCATCATGGCCAGATCACCATTCGTAGCTTATTTTAAGCAAGTTATGGAAAAAGTGAAGAAGGAAATATCAGATGGTCTATCAGAGTTGCCACAAGAGGACAACCCATACTTCTGTCCAAGCATCATCACTATCCTTTTTCACACCTAAGATAAGTCATTATTTGTAACTTTAGATGCCATGGTTTCTAAAACAAAATCTGTCAGTGTTATCTTCATTCTCATCTTCAGCGCTTTACAGTTTTTCGCGGTAGTAGCTCTCTCTGTCATCCCAAGCCAGAAGGCATTGATTGACAGCTGAAATTTCAGTGCTAGAGCAGGTGTGGGCCAATAAGAAGAGCACGAAGGCAGGGATAACATTACGGACTTGGCTTTGGTTACTGCAGCAAGTTGACATGACAACTGTTTTAAACCATTCCTGAGCGCTGCGTCTCGCGCTTTAAGTGCAGGTGGTCCAAGTAACATCCAAGTAAAAACTGGTCGCACACAACAATTTTTTGCACTCGCACAAATGCTCCCAAATATATTTTGAGGTCGCATATTTCGGGGGCATATGCGACCAAAATGGTCGCAATTTCGAGCCCTGTTGTATTTCCTCCAATCTATGACATATCTTTTTGATTTTGGGATCTTTGATTTTATTGATACTCTACTCTGCCTATTGTTTCCTTATTCTTGCTTAAACTTATTTGATCATATTAAAATATCTGGATCTTTTTATTACCATATTTAGTCTCTATATCTGGCAATATATCTGGCAATATTATATTCTTTTATTTCCAGCTAGGTTTTCAAGTTATATATTTCTACTAATTATAGCAAGGGATTTTACGTGTATAAAATAGAATTCCTTTATGTCTTTCTACCAGTATGTTACTCAATGACTCGAGTCTTGGTGTGTCGTTGGTAAGTTCGGTTAAATATCATTCTTTCATGTAAATCATGTAAATGTCCATCATCTGTAAATAAAGTCAAGAAGTTTTACCAGCCTCTCAGAGTTCTTTGTTAGGATCTGTCAGGTTTTACTCTTCTTTCAAACAGAGCTAGTGTTGTCCCTTTAAAAGTCACATAGTTTTCTCTTCTTCGATGTCACTCCAAACTTTGCCAAAATCTTTGTTTCTCTTTCCCAGAAATTCCTATAATGGTTTCTTCTTCGTTGTTTATCAGTTCTTTTTCTTTCAGATCTCTTGATGCCTGTCATCAAATTGTACATGACCTGCCCGTTTTCCAGAAAAGATTCTAAGTTTTGCCGGCGGTGGTGATTGGAACTTAATCCCCTTTTCTTTAAGAATTTTTCCTATTGGAGCAAAAACCCGTCTTTTCTGTTGGAATTCAGGTGGGTAATATTGGTCAAAGAAAATCCTTTTTTCGTTCCACTGTATTACTTTCTTTATCCATGCAAAGTGGAAAACCAGGTCCTTTGTTTTGTTTTCCAGTAAGAATATCAACGCTGATCTAGGGTGTGTGTCATCAGGTTGTTTTGGTCCGAGTACCCAGTGACACCATTGGATTTTAAGGTTCAATTCATCAAGTGACAGTTTGTTTTGCAATGCAATGCTAGCTGACGGGCTATTAGCTATCCTGTCCGTCTCTGATTTTTCATCTGTTGATTTCTCGTTTTTTTCAGGTTTCAATGGTTGTTTTGTCCTAGCCTTTTTGTCCCCCCTCAATGTTATTTAAATATGGTTTTGGTTATTACATATGATGTAAAAAGGAGGATTAATACCAGTGTGTATGGGAGCTCTCTTTCTATGCTGCTACATGTGTCAACGCCATACTGGAAACCATCCCATGTGTTTCTTAAGCTGCCCCGAATGAGTGAAACTCTGTACACACTGATCATGTCTACGGTTTCTCTCCAGTGTGAATCCTCTAATGTGTTTACAGGGTTCCTGAGTGATAAACCTCTTACTGCAGAGTGAACACTTGTACGTTTTTTATCCAGTGTGAATCCTCTGGTGCTGTTTCAATTCTGCAGCAGTAATAAAAGTCTTCTCGCACTCCAAGCACATTTACTCTCTCACACCAGTGTGGATCTTCATGTGTTTTTTAAGGTGTGATGAGTGGGTAAAAACTCTTCCCGCACCGAGTGCATGTGAATAATCTCTTTCCCGTGTGGATCCTATTGTGTTTATTAAGGTATGATGATTGGTTGAAACTCTTCCCACACTTAGTGCATGTAAATGGTTTTTCTCCAGTGTGGATCTTCATGTGTCTATAAAGTGATGATGATAGGCTGAAACTCTTCCCACACTGAGGGCATGTGAATGGTTTCGCTCCAGTGTGGATCTTCATGTGTCTATAAAGCGAGGATGACTTGCTGAAACTCTTCCCACACCTAGTGCATGTGAATGGTTTCTCTCCAGTGTGGATCCTCATGTGTTGATTAAGGGATGATGATTGGCTGAAACTCTTCCCACACTGAGTGCATGTGAATGGTTTCTCCCCATTGTGGATCATCATGTGTTGATTAAGGTGTGATGAGTGGCTAAAACTCTTCCCACACTGAGTGCATGTGAATGGTTTCTCCCCAGTGTGGATCATCATGTGTTGATTAAGTTGTGATAAGTGGCTAAAACTCTTCCCACATTGAGTGCATGTAAATGGTTTCTCTCCAGTGTGGATCCTCTTGTGTAGATTAAGATTTGATGATTGGCTAAAACTCTTCCCACACTGAGGGCATGTGAATGGTTTCTCTCCAGTGTGGATCCTTATGTGTAGATTAAGATTTGATGATTGGCTGAAACTCTTCCCACACTGAGGGCATGTGAATGGTTTCTCTCCAGTGTGTATCCTCATGTGTTGCTTAAAGGATGATAATTGGCTGAAACTCTTCCGACATGGAGTGCACTTGAATGGTCTTTCTCCAGTGTGGATCCTCATGTGTTGATTAAGGTTTGCTGAGTGGCTAAAACTCTTCCCACAATGAGTGCATGTGAATGGCTTTTCTCCAGTGTGAATCCTCAAGTGAATCTTCAGTTTGCTTTTGATTGCCAAACTCTTTCCACACTGAGTGCAGGTAAAACAACTCTTGTCTCTCACTTTTAAAATACCATCAGTCTCTAAATGAGTTTTGTCCTCAATCTTGACATGATGTTCCTCCTCTTTACTCTCCTCATAGTCTTCAATTAGGTCTGAAAAAAAAAAGTTAAGTTTTTAGTAAATCATTAAAGCTCATCGAAAGCTGAAGTAAAAGGGCTCTAACACATTGGCTACACAAACCTTAATTTTAATGCACATTAAATGTAAAGACATAGCAGATCATATTTAGATTAATCTTGTCACATCAACCTCCTGGGGTCCATTACACTGTCACCAACTCGGTCCCAGTCATTCCCCTCGTTGGCCAGCAGAGGCCACCATCCCCAGACTTCTAGCATTACATCATCCACCTAGACTGATTGTGCACACACCTGAACTGAATCTCGGTAATGACCCACGCCACCTATATAAGCCACACTCAAACCACTGTTCAGTGCGAAGTCTTGTTTAGCCCCGGCCAGCATTACTGAGCGGTCTTTCCTGCCTGATCTCCTGTACATTACCCCGGACTGTTTCTGACTCTGAATTGCCTTCTGCCTGCCCACGACCCTTGGTTGTTACACGGACTCTGAACCACGCTGCCTGCCCACGACCTACGCCTGTCATAAGGACTCTGAGCCACGCCGCCTGCCACTGATCTATGCCTGGTAAATCACTCTGTCTGTTAGCCGCCAGCCCCACAACCTTTATTGATTACTGTTGATGTGTGTTCGCACTTTAGTGCGTGTTGGATGTTTGTGTTTGACTGTGTCTAATAAATACTGCCAAATGGATCCCTCCATGTCAGTCTCCCTATTACATACACACATGCACATTTAAGTGTATTCTTATATGATTAATCCCAGATCATTTTTGGTCATATTGATGAGACACAAATTTGAAAGCTGTAAATGGCCAGTTTTTTCATTTTTGTATGCATTCGTAATCACTCAAAACAACATGTTTTTGTAAAACTTGTAAAGCAGATAGGGAATGTTTTTCATTCTGTGCCTGAATGGTAAACCTGTCAAAAAAAAACAGCTGAATCTCTGAGTATTTGCCTCCATAGACATGAGACATATCTGCATAAAGCCTGCACCTTTGAATGACAAATGTTCTAAGGGTTAGTAATCTACAGTGCAGAATTCTAATACTTAACAGTCTCAGATCATCAAACAAATGTGAATATTGTTTAAAGAGAACACAATTAAACACATTGTGCAGTTTTTAAGGTTTTTATTCTTAAAAGGAAGACAAAGTACTGAACTACATAGCCTTGTGTGAAAATGTTTTTCCCCATTAAAACATAACTTTACTTTTTCACACCGGCTTCAAGTTCTCTAGCCACACCCAGACCCGATTACTACCACATGTTTGCAATCAATAAATCACCTAAATATGACCTATCTGACAAAGTGAAGTAGACCAAAAGAGCCTCAAAAGCTAGACATCATGCCAAAACCTAAAGACCTTTAAATACAAATGAGAAAGAAAATACTTGTGTCACGAGTTAAAAAAAAAGTGAACTCAAATGCAGAAAAACAATGTGTTTGGGGAGTGAGTCCTGGAATAAGCAAAAGTCAAAGTAAACATCTGATCAGGTGAGCACTGAGAAAGTGCCGTGGGAAAAAACAACCAGACACTCACTCACTTGCATTCCTGCACACGAATACAGGGTGAGAAACAAAATAATATGCACACAAATGATTGATAACATACTGACAAACATGAAGGGAAATGATGTTGTATAAACAGGAAAAAAAGGGAATCGAGAGCTCCTGTGACTGCAAATAAAAGCAGATAACGAAATAACCTGTAACCCAGAACAGAAGAGAGCAAATCTGTGAGGTATGGTGACAGTACCCCCTCCCTCAAGAATGCCCCCTAGCATTCCCTTAAGACTCACTGTGGATCTATTTAAACTGATCAATGAGAGAGCGGTCCAGAATATTCAGAGCCGGAATCTAACATCTCCCCTCTGGACCATAACCCTCTTCCAGTATATTATCAATACTGATAATCTTTCTACCTCTCCTCCTCACAACAAGGAGCCAGTGCACTGTGGATGTGAATGCACCCTCAACCAGTCTGGGACGCAGAGGTTATGGGCTGCAGGGGGAGAGAAGAATGGGCTTGATATTGGACATATGGAAAAAACAGATGAATGTCTTTAAACTTAGAGCTTAATTTGAACAAACACTAGACTGAGCACCTTGATAATAGAAAAAGGTCCAATAAACTTGGGTCTCAATTTATGTGAGGGAAAGCTGAGAGGAATGCCTTTGGAAGACAACCAGACTTTCTGACCACACATATATAGAGGGAGCAAACGCTTCATTCCTATTGCCAGTCCTTTTCTGGTGATCCTTCATGTCTAGAGGCATCTCTGAATGAAAAAATGCATAAGGAAACAATGGCATCTGGTTTTTGGGAAGAGAATACGCTTATTTCACACGGCCACCATTTTAAACAAAAAACCATTTTAACGAAAGCTAGGCTGTGGTGGGAAAACACATGGAAGTATAGGATCATCACTGTAAACATTGCAACAACTAGCTGTGGACTACAAACCTCCAGCTGTTGCCGTGATTTCAAAGTGCAGATGGTGCCTGGCCATTGGTCTGTGGATGGTGCTCGTTAGAGGCTAGTAGTCGCCCCCAGCTGTCGGCAGAATTCTGCCCAAAACCTGGACACAAATTGCAGACCCCTGTCTAAAACCATGTCAACTAGGAGGCCAAGAATACGGAACATGTGGTCCAAGACAATGGCTGCTGTTTCCCTCGATGAAGATTATTTGAGGAGTGAAATAAAGTGAGCTGCTTCAAAAATCTGCCCAATACAGTGAGGACTACTGTGTTGCCACTGAATGGTGGTAACCCAGTGACAAGCCAACAAAAACTGACCAGTGTTCCACACCATTGAGAGCCACCAGAACCATTAGCCCCATTTCCACTATCGCACCAAAAGCGAGGGAGCCCAGGCCAGTCGCGTTTCCACTGTCACTTCCAGGGCCTGATCAGGCCAAAGCTGGGCTTCTTTGGAGCGAAATATAGGCTATAGCCTATTTTATTACTTGCCCTTATGTCCTGAAACACTTAACACTCTCCTTTCCTTTCGTTTTTAAATAAATTGCTCTTAGTCATTATATTTTCAAAACTTGAGGCCCTGGTATACTGAAAACTAGCTGTCCTGGAGCTCCACCTTCCTTGATGTGTGGTGTCTTCCCAGTGATTAGTTTCGCATTCGGGGAGTAAGAAGGAGAACATCATCCAAAACAACACTAGCTACATGAATACACTGGAGAGTGGAGTACAGATGTATCCGCACCTGTACAATCACTTGCAAAGAGAGATTTTAAGCCGCTGAGATGCTGTTTGTCAGATGTTTATGAAACTATTCTTCTCTCAGCCGCCAGCAATGTTTACGGTAAACGCGATGAGCGCAACACATTTACAACCCCACCTACTGCAGTGTAGGAAAACAGAATACCATCACTCAGCCTTTTCAAACATTATTTAGACATGAAACATCCTGTGCTTGTTTTGCTGCATTCAGGTCATGTGTGCAACTTTTTGTCCAATTGTAAAGACACTGATCAGATTTGTACGGTTTCTCTCCAGTGTGAATCCTCTTTTGTGTTTTCAGATCTGTTAACTGATTAAACCTCTTGTCACAGTGTGAACACTTGTAGGGTCTCTCCAGTGTGAATCGTCTGGTGCAGTTTAAATTTGAGCTGTAATAAAAGTTTTCTCACATTCAAGCACATATACTCTTTCACACCAGTGTGGATCTTCATGTCTACATTAAGGTTTGCTCATCAGTTGAAACTTTTCCCAACACACTGAGTGTATGTGAATGGTCTTCAGTGTGGGTCTTCATGCGTTTATTAAGGTCTGATGAGTTGCTAAAACTCATCCCACACCAAAGCTGCAATTACACTAGAGTTTGAGCATGAGAAATTCTTTTGTACGATGCTGCGAAAAGGGGCGGGATTAAACAAAATGATTAGACATAAATGGTTTCTCTTCAGTGTGGCTCATCATGTGTCGCTTAAGGGATGATGATTGGCTGTAATTCCTCCCACACTGAGTGCATGTGAATGGTTTCTCTTCAGTGTGGATCCTCATGTGTAGATTTAGGTCTGATGAGCAGTTAAAACTCTTCATACACTGAGTGCATCTGAATGGTTTCTCTCTAGTGTGGTTCCTCATGTGTTGATTAAGGTTTGATGAGCAGTTAAAACTCTTCCCACACTGAGTGCATGTGAACGGTTTCTCCCCAGTGTGGATTCTCATGTGTTGATAAAGGTTTGATAAGCTGCTGAAACTCTTCCCACACTGAGCGCATGTGAATGGTTTCTCTCTAGTGTGGATCCTCATGTGTTGATTAAGGTGTGATGAGCAAATAAAACTCCTCCAACACTGAGTGCATGTGAATGGTTTCTCTCCAGTGTGGATCCTCATGTGTAGATTAAGGTACGATGATTTGCCGAAAGTCTTCCCACACTGAGTGCAAGTGAATAGTTTTTCTCCAGTGTGGATTTTCATGTGTAGATTAAGGTGTGATGATTGGTTGAATCTCTTCCCACACTGAGTGCATGTGAATGGTTTCTCTCCGGTGTGGATCCTCATGTGAGTCTTAAGAATGTCTTTTCTTTTAAAACTCTTTCCACACTGAGTGCAGGTGAATTGATTCTTGTCTCTTCTTTTCAAAATATCATCAGTCTGTAAATGAGATTTTTCCTCAATTTTGACATGATGTTCCTCCTCTTTACTCCCCTCATTCTCTTCAATTAGGTCTGATATAAATAAATAAAACATTAGTTTCCATTAAGTCTTAAAAACTATCAAAAGTGAAAAGACACTGGAAACATTGGCTACACACACTGTAATTTTAATGCACATTAAATGTAAATAAATCAGATCATATTTTGTTTGGTCCATTAACATGTACACATTTAAGCAGATTCAATTCATCTTTATTTATCTAGTGCTTTTACAATGTAAACTGTCAAAGCAGATTAACATAAAAGTTATAGTAAATGGGCTCTATGCACAAACTCTGCTGACGTGTTTCCGGTAGAATATCAGTCAGGCTCTTCCGCATAGCGAAATCTGATAGTGGCGATTTCGTTCTACAGTGAAATCTAATAGCGGTGAAACCTAAACAAATCAGAGCATGGCAAAGAAGGAAGATTGAAGGATCTAGTGCCAGTGGATGCTCAGCATCTGAAACATCATTATTGTTGATTAATACACCAGATCAGACTAATAATCACAGTGAAGAGGTAGAGTAACTGAAAGGAGACTGCTTCAATGCTACTTTTAGTGATGTTAAAAGATTCTAAAGGTACAGTAAAAATGATGTACTAGAATTTAACCAAGATGATAGTAGTAACAAGTTGTAATTGTATTTTATATAAAATATTAAATTTTTAACCATATTATAGTAAATTATATTATACTGTATATACTGTATACATGCATATACACACCCACATCAAACATTCTAGTATCATATAAGAGGTCAATAACAAACTAAAACAAATATGTTAAGCACAAGTCTTTATACTCAAAGCCAAATGCATTTCTATCTGATTTATTCATTTACATCCTACAACATCTAGAGTCATGCGTTCAGAGTAAGAGCAACTGTGAGGGAGAAGCCATCCTTCACAAGACTATAGGTCCACACTGAGCATCTCATCCACAGGGTGAAGCAACAAGCTGGACAGTCATCGTCTCTTTCTATTACAGCGAGCATCAACCAGATTTACACAATGGCTTACCTTCTGCCCATCAGTAAAAGTTTAAGCTAAAGATTACAAACATAAATAACAGAACAATTTGAGTGAACATTTGCTCTGCACTAATGTAAATATATAAATCACTGTAGATACTTGCACTAATGTAATTATGCAGAGTTTATTGTGCAGAATTATGTGATGTACCACCTCCGCCTTCAAGCAAAAATCAGGCAGGCAACTTCTGTCAGACCCCCAGTGATGCTCAATAATGCAAAATGCATTTGTTTCAAGTAGCAAAAATGTAACAAATGGGATACCCTCTTAAACAAATTTTCAACAAGGAAAACCCCAAACTATCTAAATATAAGTAATTAGACATTTGCACTGCAGCATAAATATAAATAATTTTTTTGACACGTGTAAATTTGACAATTTTAAACAAAAAAAGTTGTGTGAGTGTTTGTTCAAATCTGCAGTCATCTTGACAGGTAAAAAAAAAAAAAAAAAAAAAAAGTTTGGCTTCCCCTGAAACAATTTGATGTTATTGTAGATGAGCTGGATCCCGAGTATAAATAACCATCCCGAGTATAAATAACCTTTCACTCAAACTTTGCAGCTTATCTGACTTCACTATCAACCTGAAATGCTGATCTCCCGTCACTCCACTCTTATAGGACAGTGAGAAATAACCCATAGTAACGTTTATACTAATGGATATTGAGGACACAATGTACACATACATGTAAATAGATAGACAGGCAGATGGATAGAAATGATACAGGTAATTAAAACAACATAAAAATCAATATGAACTATGAGGAAAAAAAGATATGGCTAGCATTTAATTGCTTTTCTTATATATAGCATAATAATACTCACCCTCAAAATGATCGATGCAACTCGAAATGTAGAATTTTAACCCCTTTTCTTCTTTGCTGTTTGGTGTGACAGCACTCTTTCTCACGATTCCATTATTGTCCTTCATGGTTATGCAAGGAAACTTATAAACAACGAGTGTAATCTATCATCATCAACTGCGCCATCCGCTTACAGTGATCGTGGTGCTGTACCAGAAGTTGACATGAGGGCTAATCACAAACGCGGAAGAGATCTTGCATAGAGTCCATTAAAACTGTGTCAGTCGAGGGGGCGCTGCCAAGCGTGATGGAGTAAACACGTGTTTTCAGCGCTCCTATATAATCTTAAAAAACTGTTATATTAACAGCTGTTTAATGTCTGGGAATGAACAGTATTTGTTCTTGCAAACGAACAGAAGACCACGTTGATTAAATACAGTCAAGGATGGCAGCGAATCTCCATAAATACAAGTATTCTGGCCCTACCACCGTAAGGCCCGAAGCCTCGGGGCAGAGTAGTTCCAGTGAGCCTGGATCTCCTTCTGGACGGCCTGACGATACAAATACTGTCTTCGAGAAGATAAAGGCGGACATTCTCTGCTCCTTAAGAGTGGACAAATGATCTGTAATAACTAAAAAAATTGAAGAACGCATTGACAGAGGATTTTGATGCACTTAAATCTGAACTACAGGCTATGAGACCCGAAATCTTGAATAATGCCACCGCTATGCCATCTGAAATTGACCAAATAAAAGAGAACATTAAGGATGTAGAGGGAGGACTCTCAACTTGGTCAGACGAGATGGTCACTCTCCAAGCAACTGTAACTAAACTCACAAGGCACGTTGACGACTTAAAAGAAAAATGTGAAGATATGGAAGGGCGCATGAGAAGGTGGAAATATGCGCGTTACTGTAATCTCCGAGCTCCCGGGATCAAAACTACAGCAGTATTTAAACTGCTAAAAAAAGTGCTTCAAATGAACAGAGATGTCAAAATTGACCACTCACATCATAGCCTTGTTCCAAAAAGGCCAGGGGACAAGCCTTGTACCATAACCGCAAAGTTACATTACGATGGAGATGCCGTGGAGATCTTACAAAAAGCCAGAGAACGCACAATGCTCATTCACAACGTTAATCAAATCACCATCTTTCAGGATTACGCCGCCAATGTTGCAGGGGCAGAGCAGTCTTCACTGATGTCAGGAGAGCTCTTCGGGGGCGACAGGACGTGCAATATGGACAGCTTTTTCCGGCAAGGTTCCGAATTTCACACAATGGAAAAGAAAAGTGGTTTCAGATTCCGTCCGAGGCAATGGATTATGTGAAAAAGAAAATCATATCTGACAATCAATCTAATAGTTGACACTTATTCTACCTGAAGATTACAACACTTAACGATGAGTATCCTGCATTCAAACTTATTAGGTGATAATCCACTCTCGACTCCTTACGTTGGATTTGACTGATCATTACAATTAATTTCCCTGAGGTATTTGTTTTCTTCCATGAAATGAACGGATTAGCTAACTTTATACAGCAGTTTTTATGCTTGGAAAAACACGTCTCTGTTTATGAAGCTGTTAATTTTGAGTTTCAAAAATTATGGTTCTGTAGGAGTCTGAAACACTGCATACGCCGAATAACACGCATATTCTCGTACATTCGAATGAACGTGAAACTGAGCGCAACATGGAAGAGCGCAAAACCCCTCCTTGCCTCCTCCCTCGAATGAATATGCTAATGACTCTACTTTGGCAAAACCCAACAAAAAAGCAACAGCAAAAGCAAGCCAAATGAGAAACTTTGAATAGAATGTTAATTGGAGGTGCTGCTTTCGGAGGTAGACCAGAGAAAACTTGTTATCTGCAAGTTTGTTCTCCGGAATTAATAACAAAAGAAAAAAAATAGAGTGGAACAGTTGAGCTGATGCTGTTAACACAGTTAAGTTTGAACATAGCACTGAGTGGGTTTAAAAAGAGATAGTGTGATTTATAGGTTTAAAATTTTGCAGCGTCTTTAACAGTGTGAGTGGCGTAGCTTGTAAAACGCATGGTAAATGACACATTCGAGCAAGAACTCAGTTTGAATCCAGATTCTGATGAACTCATCCCCCCCCCAATGTTCCAATGTCTTTTTATTTCATTCTATTTTTTTCTTTTATTACTTAATTTTATTTACTTAAATATTTATTGTTTCTTTAACTTAGTAAATATCCAAAAAGATCTTGAGCGTAGATTTATATTGCTAAATGGCTCTATGGATAGCATTGAACTATCACTCATGAATATATATGCTCCAAAGGAGGATAGACCAGCTTTTATTAAAAAAAGTTTTCAACACAATTATACAGCATAGCTCAAGAATATTAGTAATTAGAGGAGACTTCAATTGTACTATGTCACAACACTTAGATAGACAACCCATATCCAATACCCCATGCTCGTGAATGAGTATAATAAAATCTTAATCTTCAGAACTTACGTATGACGTATGGCGAAGCAATTTTCCAAATCCCAAAGACTTCACATTCTATTAACATAGCCATCAGTCTTACTCCAGAATAGATTATTTTTTTACTTCCAGAGATGAGCTGCACAGAATAACTAGTATGAAGATATTACAGATGGCCACGTCGGACCATTTACCAATAGAAATATTATGGGACTTAGGTAATAAGCATACTTCCAAACAATGGAGACCTAACACTTCGCTCCTCAACAATAATGAATTCATTTCATTTATCACAAGTGAACTTAAATTAAATTAAGTA